GTTTAACAATGAGGATACGAATTTTAGATGGAACATGCGGTGACTCATTCGGTGACTCATTGTCAGTGTCGTAAAAATTTAGACTGATTTCAAATATTACCGATAAAGTAACGATAGTCAAATTTCACTGTAATGCTAATTTCAACGTGTTTTTTTTTTAATATCGTTAAAGTATTCAAATATTTCGAAAAGCAATAGCCGCGAAAATGTTCGGTGCGTAGCGTGATTGGTCCCTACGGGGATTGATATTCTGAAGTATCTACGTATTTTTCTCAATATTTCGAACATCAATATCAATTAAAATCAATTTCAAAATTAATTTTAACGACAGACAACAAAACAAACAATTTGAAAATTGAAACAACCCTCGAAAACGTGCCGAACGTGTATCGACCAATGGGAAGCGAGAGCCGTAGGAAAGCAGCGTTCCGATTGGTGGAACGCACTTCGGCATTTGCACTTGTACACAGACCTTTGCTCGTCGAGAATGCGGTCACTGAACTTAAATATTGATTAAAAACAATTTTCAATTCCAAAGCGCATCGGATGCGAAATTAAATAAAGAAACAGGCCGATCGTGCTCGTGCTGACTTTCAAACGTTCCCTGTCGATCCCAGCTTTTCCCCTTCCTATACAGCACGTGATTTTCGTTTGAAAGGCCGTACTTTACGTGCGGATGCTCGAAGATTGTCCGTCCCAACAGATGTGCCACGAGCTACGAGCATCGTTCCCGATCTCTCGGCTCTCGCTGTAAGAGTGTTTTCTCTCCCGATCAGAGCACGATCTCAGAAAATCGATTTGTTTCTGTCACGAATAATCACGAGCCCCGGATCGTCGAACTGGCAAGGAAATCTTGCTCGAAGAGATACGTTCGTCTTTGGACAGGTGAGCGATCTATTTTCCGTGCGCAGCACTTCTTCGGAAACTACATCTCTGTGTTGTTTTTTTTTTCGCTCTAGTCCGTCGTTGCAAATTCGTCTTGCAAATTTGTGGCCTCCTATTGTTGTTCTTTTTTTTTTGTTTTTTCTTCACTCGATCGTGTTTCGAGTCAAGCCAATAACACAAACGGACAATCTTTGGCACCTTGAGTCACCTGTTTTATAGGTTGGGTGTACGTCGAAGAGAAAGTACACAGTAACGATCTGTTAAAGAGAAAGGATCGAGGATGTGTGATGCCGATATTAATTTTTGCGTTTTCGTTGCCGTCGAATACCTTGAGCATTCGTTTTGACTAACGATGCGATGGAATATTTAGTTTTGTGGAATTCAAGTCCCGTCTCGCAGTCAGTAATGATTGTACTGGTGTAAACTTTTGTATAGTTTTTATGCAAACATGTGCTTATTTAAAGACATGTTGTGTAATTATTTCAGAATGGCTCGTGGACAACAGAAAATCCAGTCGCAAGCCAAGGCGGCCGAGAAGGCTGCAAAAGTGAAAAAGCAACAGGGACATAGTGCTAATGAACAGAAAAAGGCTGCGCAGAAGGCTTTAGTACATGTGTGCATAGTTTGTAAGGTTAGTACAACGCACCAAGTTTGCAAGGTTTCGAACAACCTGCACTGTTACAGAAAACTGTAAACTGTATTGTAAACAGTATGTTGAAACTAAAAAAAATGACATTATTGTGTTCACAGGCACAGATGCCAGATCCAAAGACGTACAAGCAGCACTTTGAGAACAAACATCCCAAGAACGATCTGCCGGAAGATCTGAAAAATATATGAGAGTGAGATATGTAAGATATGTATCGCGGGTTGGGATGGAGCAAGAGCAACAAAAAAGATCATTGCAAAAACAACAAAGTGATATAGTTCGACGTTCAACTAATCATTAAATAGTCTCGTACAAGAAAAGTAAATTAAAAACCTTGTTAGTGTTTAAAATGAACTATTGCACAGTTAATGATTGAATTTTTTGTGCACGACCGAGGATTGTACTATTATTCACTTCGTAAAACTTGAAAATTTTTCAGTTTTCTCGTCACGGGATAATTGGTAATTGTTCGTCTGGTTCGCTAAGTTTCTACATGACTGAAACATGTACATTACTCGGAAATAAAGTTGATCAATTTACCAGAATGAATACGAATATTCATGCATATTTCACTTGTTGCAGGCATCAAAACAATATTCGTTGTGCGTTAGTTTTTTTGTTTTCTTCTAACTTAAGGAGAAAAAGAAGAGATGTATCGAGATGTTTCTTGTGTTCAAGTTCAGAATTGAGGTACTAGGGAAGAATTTTATCTGCGTGGAACGAAAACTGCCATTTTACAGTGTTTCTGCCAGTTAGTTTGGCAATAAGAGTTGTACATGTAGTATGTTGTAACTTTATAACGTGTGAATTTTTCTATGAGTTTTTTCATACGTTCGAGGAGTCTGATTTTGAAAGAATTGTATTTTAGGTAGATAACAGTAAAATGGAATTTACTTGATGGATGTTAAGTTCTCTGACACGACTAAATTCTAGCATTTAGTACTTAAAGCTCTTTGTTTTTTTCATACTGAGAATAATCGATTCGATGGACCCTTTTCCTTTTAAAAATTTGTCTTATCTTACACTGTATATTTGCTATCACGCACTCGAAAGGAACATATGGCAAAGCATTACCAGCAAACTGCACAATCATTTAGTGTTTAATAAAGAATCTGTTATTCTCGAAAACTTGCAAATACATACATACTTATACATATACATATATATATATATATATTGTGTTATACTTTAAAAGTATGCTTTAAAAGATTCTCACTGAAATCCCTAATGAAAATCACACGTTCGGTGACTCGGTTTCATGGGAACTTCTAGCAGGCGTTTAATATAGAAATAAGTATATATGTGAATTATGTAATTTGTTCTGACAAAACAATTATAGAATTTTACACCATAGATTATTATTCTGTTTAAAACGGTCTATGATCATCCTCACCTACAGAAAAGGATTCGCATTTCAAACTATTGCTTCAGTTAAAAAGTTAAGTACAAAAATAAGTAGTATGATTTCTCATAGTGATGCAATAATATCATGAAGTAATACTATTGTTTGTCGAGGAAGAAAAACAACTGCGTTAGATATATCATACGCGACAATTGCATGGGAAAGAAAATTAAAAGAAACTTCTCTTTTTTTAAGTATTTTATCGTATCATGCTGCGTCACGAATGTTTATCAACGATTTCAAGCAGGATTCAAGCGGGAAGAAAGTTACATCATTCAATCTCGTAGGTACAGGATCTTATATATTGTACGGATCCATGATCGTCGCTCAGTGTCATTTTGTACACTGTGAAATAGCGTCGTCGGTGCTAACTTACTAGCTAGTTTTTTCTTTTCAGTTTTTATTTATCACACGTACGTTAACTAATTCTCCACACTCGAACATCATTTTCGGTGATCGCGACATTTTCTCCATTAACTTCATCGTCGTCACCTAGAGGGCAACAAATTGCGATTTACTTATCTAAAAGGTAGAACATATTTTATTTTTATAATTTGTGAACGATTGTGTTGCATGCTCTTTCTTTGTTGCATCATAACGGATCTACGTTTCGTGAAATGTAATTATTGAAAATAAGATGTAATAGAAGATATATATATATATATATATATA